CTATTAGACATTTTAATATGAGTGCAGGCACAAGCAAATACAGGGAGAGAAATGAGGGGATGCAAGTTGCTGGCAGCCATAATATTCATCATTGTATTCCCAGATGTTGTCAAGGGCTCAGTGTTCTAGAGCCCACCAGATAGAAACACTGGAGAGCAGGGGAAGGGGGGGAGAAGACAAAAAAGAGAGACGTCGGGGGAATAAAGAAGGCTTTGCTGTAGTGGTGACCCTCTCTGGCTTTATCCCTGCTGATGTCAGCCAGACCCCACACGGTCCCCGTCCTCAAGCCAGTGCCACCGCCTCATGCATGAACCCCGGACGACCCGCACAAGCTCACACAGAACGGGTGAGATGGAGGAGGGAAACAAGTCGAGGGGGGGAAGACCGAGAGCGAGATGGAACAAGAGAACGAGGAGGGTGACGAAGCAGATTTGTGTGGGCGAGCTGAGAGTGTGTGTGTGAGATTGATCGAGGGGAAGTACCGGTGCATGTGTGACAGCGCTGACAAATGCCGAATGAAAGGCAGTTATGTTGGCAAGTTTGGCCCTGCTCTATACTGCCAGATCAGCTTCATGAATTCAATGTTTCCAGTGCAGCTTTGAGCCGCTCAACCTGCTCCATAAACAATAAGCGTCGCTGAAATACACAATGACGCCTTTTGAGTGAAGTGGGTGGAATAATTTTGTTTTCTTAAACCAAATCCGATGGCATTAAACAACCTATTTAGTCCCAAAAAAAGCCACAGAAGTTGAATAAATGCCTGTTTTTCTATTACATGAAACACAACAAGAGTTTGTATCCTGAATACTGTTTATTCTAAATCTTACAAGACGCTCACAATGAAAACATACATTTAACCAAATCAGCTGGTTTCAGTGTTCGTTTAAGCACGAGAAACAATTAAAATGACAATGTTCAAGCCTTTTTTTCATTTCAATTAGATCTATGCATTGGTGGCTGACATGGACAAAAAAAATAGTTTAAACCTGCAGAAAGACACTTCATCCAATCAACTTTTTTGCCAGATGTTGAATGTGTATCGTACTCCAATAAATTACAGTTATTATAGTAAGTTATGTTGTATAATCACTGTAAATCAGTCAGAATCTCGCAGTAATATTGTTGACTTTTCCTAACTTCTCATGACTTCATGATATTTTTCATGGCACTTAAAGAAAAGTAGTCCAGAAAGATCAACTATTTGGGCAGAGCATTGTGTTCCGGGAGTAGAGACAATATGTCCGCTGCATCCCTGAGCTTCAGCATCACCCTGTGGCCCCAGCTCCAAGGCCAGATGGAAGTTGACTGAGCATGGGACAGCTGCAAGGCCCATTGCTATGTGGTAAACGCGTGCTGAAATAGCCAAATTAATGGAAGGGGCTCAAGTCCAAACCAGGGTTCAATACCGGGCTACATTATAGTGGTATGAGCTGTCACCCAATCAGGCAGACATCAATATTTACTGCTGCCATGGCACTGCGACAGGCACGAAAAAAGAGGGGGTGGCAGCCATTTTGGTTCCTCTCACTTCCAGGGGGGACCAGACAGTTGGGGGAAACACATTGGTGCACCACCTTGGGACTGTTGGTTCTTAGAAAGAGGCTTGAAAGATGACAGACGTACTGGGAGTGATGTTCACCACACAGTGGAAAGTCTGGCATGTAAATATATACATGTATGTAAAACACTCGCCAGAAATGAAAAAACTTTAAAATATTAGGCAAAAACAATGAAAGTGTTGTGCTTTCAGTATTCAGTTTAAATGTATTATGAGCAAAGTATGTTGTGTAGAAAAGTAGGTAGCCTATGTGAATATAGTATTTTCCAGACACAAGTCTGAGTAGCATGAATTGGAGGATGTTTTAAACATTTCACAGGAAAATGGTGAGCTAGCGAGAGCTATTTATGGATCCTCGCACATGGATATAAAAGGTAAGACCAGTTGCCTTGAATCCTATTTCTCTTGACTTGCAGATTCACGGCCCTCGCCGTTCTCCTCTCAGACGAGACACTTTTCTGCCTCATGAGTCCAGGAGGAGGTTTCTCTCGTTGCTGTGGCGACCGCACTTGTGTACACCTCACAAAAAAAACCTTTTTTCGCTCCCCTCTCGGCTTGTCCGCCTACCGGGGTTTAGCAGATCTTCTCCTTCTGCTCAGGGAAACTTCAATTAACCGGCAACACTTGTTCAACTACCGCCAGGCCTATTATGGTCAAGCGAGACGCCATGGCCGGCCGGGAACGGCATCTCCTTCCCCTGTAAATCTGAGAGCGTTGTCTCATGCTCACGGTGCTGTGACAAGACGAGGTCGAGGGGTCGTGCCTCCAGGTGATGTGTTTCCATAAGGCCGTGGAGAGGAAATGCACATATATGGTGTGGTCTTTATTTATTGCCAGCTCTCGCACTGGATGAGTGCAGACTCTCCTCCTCCCGTAAGCCCTGCACCTCTTCTAAAGCAATGAGGCTCGGTGTGTCCGCCTCTTTTAGAAAATGTGGGATTTAAGCGCCTCGGATCCTTTGAGAACATTATGACTTTCAACAGAATAAGTCATGATGTGATTACGTAAGTTTTCCGGTCCTCTGCAGAAGTTGCGCTGCAAACACCACCACCCAAAGCCGAAATCTGAGAGCGTTTAACTTCAAATGTTTGAGAGATCTGGACATTGTTAGATGAACTTGACAGTTGGCAACACAAAAGGATCGTATGCTTTAGAGGACTGCCGAACAGAGCAGGAAATCCGGGACAATTCAGCGTCCCTAATGCGTTTCCTATGCAGAACGTGACCCCTAACACAAACACAGGTTTATCTGAAAGCTTATCATCCAGCCTGGGGTCCCCACACTGTGCTTCCTCAGTCTGCCTGACTCTGGTGTAGATATTGGCACTGTCAGTCTAAAGCTACATCCCTTGCATTTATCTGTTGGCTAATAAACTCCTCAGACTTGTCACGCATAAACTGAAAGCGGAAGGTCAAGGAAAAGAGAGAGTGTTGTGTGAAAAAGAGCAGATTGAGCTTTGGACTGGGTCCTTCATATAATGACTCTTCCATTCCTCACGACAAGAGCATCAGGGAAAAGGTCCAAACACATACTGTATGTCATCATTTTAACACAGACCCATTCTTCTGCTGAAAGCAGCCTTGCGAATTCAGAGGTGTTGATGCTGCACGATACAATGATTTCATATTTAGCAGCTCAAGAGACAGATATTTCCCTCAGGAGTTGGTGGACTCTGAAACAGGGCCGAGTGAATATTGGACTCTTGTTCATCAGGTGGCCAGAAACAATAAGTGAATGCTAATGTTGCTCTATGCCTGCTTGATGTACAGTTAGTTAGCTGTTTTGCAAAAAATGTTCACCAAAACAACTTGATAAAGTAATTATATAATCAATATTGTGTCTACAACTTATTCCACTGCCCCCAAGTGGCCCAAAACGGAATTGATTTATTTTTGAAGTAGAAGGTAAAAGCTTTATTTTCAAAGATATTTACAGGTCTGTACTGTAAAAGGGGAGGTAAATGTCTTGAACATACAGTGTAACATAAACTTTTAAATCTATGCTCTCACACAAATGAAGCTCTACGCACACCACTGCGGTTTGAATTTGGGAGTCCAGACAGAGGCTCAGCACGCGGCCCGATGGGAGTACACATTCTCTCTGACAATAAAAGAAGCCAGGTGCCATTTCACCCGTGGCCGACACTATAAACACCAGTCTCGCTGTAGTAAATGTCAGGCATAGGTAGGCACTGCACACATGACTCACACCACTGTATACAGATTCCCAAGGTGCTATCTATCTTCAGTCCTCCTCTGACTCGGGAACGGCCCCGCTGCTCCCCTCCTTTAAGGGTAAGACTGTGCCTCGAAGCCGACACTTTTCTCTCGTCTCCAGTGTCGGACTGCAGGGTGTGTGTGCTTGAGATTCTGTCAACTGCACGTCCACCGTGCATCTTGAGAAAGCAGAGAGTGGACCGCTTCCCGCCCACAAACTGCAGGCCGGGTCTAATTTGATCAGATCAACACTGTCCAACACTGTGGTCAGATCAAAGACTGTCTCTTGACTAGGGTTTGATATTTGATGTCCAAAAAGCTCCCCACTTCCCTTTTCCCATGCTCATGTCCCATTCCCATACCCTGACCCTAAGCTCCTCAGCCCCAGGCGGCACTGAACAACATGACCTCTGTATGTCATTTGGCTCACCACAAGCTGGAAAATGAGGTTTTTACACGCCGAGGTGCTTTGAGTTTGTGTGGTTTGACGGCGGCCTGTTATACAGGAGAAATGAACGCTCTGCTCTGATTTCTGCCAGACAGCATCTGGTTGATTGTACAACCTTGCCCCCAGCTGAGATGGGAATGATGTCACACTTAAAATTGTGTTGGTAATTGTGTTAATAATTTCCACTAGAGGGTGGTGTTGGGCAGAGATTCTGCGAAGCGGATGAGGAGAGACTCGCATAAACCAGGCCACTGGGACTACAGTTGTCACAGTTAATGGGGGGTTTTAATATGATATGATTTCTGATTTGATGGATTGTATTATTCAAAACGAAAATACCATCCATGTCGATTCAAATCTACATTTATATAGCGAGCTAAAATTTAGATTATAGCTGTGATTTGGCTCCACCAGATCCTGTTGAGTAAACAAGTCATTATATTACCGTCCTTATCAACGTAGTTTTTGAGCTGGGTGCAGCTTATCACAATTTCTAGGAGCGTCCATGTAAAGAAACAAAGATTCCTACTTTTTATAGCAACTGTATCCTGATCCTTCCCCTTCAGTTGGCAGCAGAACAGTGCTGCTGCATCTTCTGGTTTTTGTTGTTTAGACAGCTACTTCTCCTCCTCTGAACAGGCAATTTATCTTTCCAGGTAATTAGATTCACTATTTCCAATTTTTTTTACCTCTTTTTGTTTCTTACACACAAGCAATCTCTTTTAAATGACATTTTTCTATTGTTCTTTTCTAAAATAGAAATGTCAACTGAACGTGATGGAAGTAACAGCAAAATTCAGTCCAGAATGGCATCTGTTACATATGTTTTTTGTCAGTATTCCTATTAATACTTCATTGCATCCAAAGTCTTAAATTGAACATGTTCCAGTCAAGTACACAATTCTGTTGTAAAATACAAACCTCGATGTTGTGTTTGTGTCAGGGGCAACCACCTTTATCCACGTGGGGCGACCCTCAGAGGACTCTATGAAGTAAAAAGCATATTTAAATGTTTGAAAGTATTAAAATCAATAATCTCTCTCCGGAAAACTCTACTTTATACAAATGTGAAATTCACAGAATTGTAATAGGAATTAATAGCTCTTATAGCAAATAATAAAGTGAGATAAGCACATTTTTTTGTCTTTATTTTTTAAATATTATTTTACAAACGAGCTGAACATTGAAAGCGTTGAGCGCTCTTTCATCCTGTCTGCCAGGTCAGTCTTAACATCTGGCAGTTACATGAAATATATCGTACAATGAGCTGTAAACATCTATACATTGAATTGATTGTTCTGTTCACTGTTGCTGAGAGTTCTGGTGTATCTTGCAGCTCAGCTACAGAGAGAGACGAGTGGCTGGAGGCCATCGCCAAGGCCATAGACGACTACACGAAGAAGAAAATAACCTTCATATCAAGTCGAAGTCAGGAGGAGGTGAAACTAAACTTCTGTGTGTTTGTTCATGTTATAAATTCTCCCTGAATGTGTCCATGTTAACCCCCAATCTCTCTCGACCCAGGCGGAGGGCGTTGTCGACACCGGGGCCCCGTTGGGTTCAAAGGCTCCCATCTGGATCCCAGACCTGAGAGCCACCATGTGCATGATCTGCACCTGTGAGTTCACCCTCACCTGGAGGAGGCATCACTGTCGCGCCTGTGGAAGGGTCTGTACCACTACGACTACTGCTGCTCTTACAAAACATTCTTGAATGAACCCCCTTCTCATCGCAGTTACACGTGTGTCTGACAGGTGGTGTGTCAGGCGTGATCAAAAAACAAAAAGCACCACAAAATGAATAAAAAGAAGGAATTTGTTTTTTATTTAAGCCAGCTATACCTTTGTGTTCAATCGCTGGCTGCACTGTATGACACACGACCCCCCCCCCACCACACATTCAACCTGAGTGGCAGCTCACAGCAGTACGTGCCCTTCCCCACCACCAGCAAGAAGATCCAGCCAGCACCTCTGCTCTCATGTGCGGAAGAAGAGGTTCACGACCGTTGCTTGGCAATGAACGCTGCGTCGCAAATAAAGATTCGTGCTCACCACCATGGGAGATGGAAAAATTGAACCCTGTCCTTTTATAGAATATGGAATACAATGAACTGTCACATTGAGAGAATAACAGGCGTTGAGCATAAGCGGGTACAAAATGAAATCATTCAGGAGGTTGAATGGGATGGGGCCCGAGATTATCCCAGACACAATAATAATAGGTTACATATGTTGTATAAAATAAAAAAATAAAATAAATTCTGTTCATCTCACGTATCATTTGCTATAAGAGCTGTACATATTCACTTCAGACTAAAGTTCTGCTTATCATGTGATTTCACATTTTTATAAAGTACAAAAAAAGTCACAAAAAACTGTTGTATTATCATTAAAAATATAGTCATGACCTGAAGTCCGGGGTGTTAAGCTAACAGGTGTTTGTTTATTTTTATACATAACCACATTAACCTCTTAGAGCTTTAACTAAAACATTAAATCAAAAATCTTACTCAGTTACTGTATATAAAATCTACATTTCTCATTCACAGATTGCTCATAGCATATTATGGGGTAATGGTAATGATGACAATGGAATGATGGTGATAGAAGAGTTAGTGGAGATATAAACCCAGTGTGCATAAATAATGGAACTGGGACAAGATTTAACATAAGAACAGGGACAGAGTCTGCAATAAACCTTACTTTAGTATCTAATTCATTGGCAGGTCCTGGGAGGTAATAAGAGGCACAGAGTGTTGGCAAGGATCATATTTGTTATATCATGTTAAGCAATCTAAGTGAATCTTCTATGGATATATGACAGTAAAATGGAGGTAGAGCGATAGCAACTGTCGCAAAACCTACCCCAAAGCACGTCTGAAGTGTCGTGCAACAGCCCCTGATTTTCTGCACGAGAAACCCCGTCGGTCTCTCCGTAAGGCACCCTAGCTGAAGACGGTATGTTTGTCAGCCTGATCCGTTTAAATAGTATATATTATACGTATTCACCGGTTTCTAGTGTAACACTTTTTCCTCTCTGTGTTTCAGAAACATGCCAGCGAAAGGTCCTTTGCAATCTGTCCAGGTTTTTGGACGTAAAGTAAGTAATATAAAGAGTATTGCACATGTGGTGGTGTGACTATCATGTCTTGCTAGCGCACATTAGCTACTTTAGCTAACGTAATGCGTTAGTGTGTCGGTTTATCACCGTGTTGTAGAGGCCTATATTGATCTAGACGTCATGAAACATTGTTTCAAAATCGGGCTTTTTTCCCTGCATAGCGTTACTCTATCGAAGCTTGAGTAGCTAGCTAGCTAGCCAGCCTGGCTGCTAGCAATGGTTGTGCTTTTAATACCTAAAACAGGATGTCAACGTTGATTTTAGATCACGTCTCTTCACACAAACAAACACCAATTTCTTACTTAATTGATAAACTCGTCTACCTTTCTCACAAACCTAATGTTTGCATTGAAACGGAACGCTACAGTGTTGTTCACGTATTACACGTGCAGGTTAAAGTTGGTTTTATATGGTATCTGATGATGATGATGCTTCTGTCGTAGAAAACCGCCACAGCAGTTGCTCACTGCAAGAGGGGCAATGGCCTGATCAAAGTGAACGGCAGACCCCTGGACATGGTGGAGCCTGCCACCCTCCAGTACAAGGTGAGTCCTAAGGAGAGAGGGGGTTAACATCAGGGAGCACATGGCTGGTGGTGGGGGGGGGGGGGGGGAAAGCACTGGTGGGGATGAGCAGTTCAGCACAACAAGTAGTTGTAACCTCTGTATCTAACACCATGCATTTTAAGACTAAACAAAGAGATGGGTTACTGCCCTTGTCCTAGCAGCTGACATCAATATTCAACAACATTGATTACTATCCTATCACTACAATCCTGGTTGCAACAATTGTTTCCCTTATTCAATGGTTTTCATCTTTTTGTGTGCTTTTTAGCTTCTGGAGCCAGTGCTGTTGCTGGGCAAGGAGCGTTTTGCTGGTGTGGACATCAGAGTCAGAGTGAAGGGTGGTGGACATGTGGCACAGATCTATGGTAAGCAGAACTTCAATTATGAGTTTGTTGCTTCATATTTATCCATCAGCAGATATCGTGTCTTAGGATTTTTACCCTTTCTGCCATTTATTGTTGTTGTTGTTGTTGTCTTCCAGCTATCCGTCAGGCCATCTCCAAATCTCTGGTTGCCTACTACCAGAAGTGTGAGTATGACGTTTTGTTCACTGCACAAACATCACTCACTCTTTTGAGAAAATGCACGCTGTTAAGATTTCAACCAAATGAACAGAGGCCCGATGAGTGGGAACTGATTTCCAGACGTGTTCACTAATGGTAACATTGATGCATGGACATAAACGGAGGCTACAGATCCGAGGACGTCCCAGACAGCTGAAAGGTTGTCAAATAACAAATCAGGATAGTCAAAATACGACGCAACACTCAAAATAGTGTTATTGTGTCAGCATTTCAACATGACACGGTAACAGTTGGAACACGAGCTGTCAATTTGTTTTAATCTACATTAGTCCATATTGTGCAAATTTCATCACATTAGTCGCGTGACACGGATTGCCTTGTTCTTGTAGAAACAACCTGTTACAACCACTTCAGGGAATTCTTGTTGAATGAGAAAGTTATTTTGTTACAAAAGGTCATTTGGGTGTGAACATCTGCATATACATAGTGCAGTGTTTATTATACTTATGGTATTCTGTACAAACCTAGTATGCAGAGTGTTGGAACACTTTGGATAGAGAATAACTTTCAGCGTTTTTGTCCTGCAGATGTGGACGAGGCCTCCAAGAAGGAGATCAAAGACATCCTGATCCAGTACGACAGGACCCTGCTGGTCGCCGATCCACGTCGCTGCGAGTCCAAGAAGTTCGGTGGACCCGGAGCTCGTGCCCGCTACCAGAAGTCCTACCGTTAATCCCCCTGTACATTTTCTTAATAAATTGGAGGAACAAAGAATTGAATTTGTCATTTTTTTTTTTTTTTTCATAAGACTGTACAGACGGCTTGCTTGCATCCTCTCTTGCTCGTTTTTTCAGTGAGGGATGTTTGTGTAGTTCAAATCGCTTGATTCATTAAGAACGAAACACTTAATAGTTATTTTTCTTGGTCACATGGCACAAAAATACATGTTGACGGTGAACTACATATTTCTCTTGACATGGTGTCAAAAGTGTCGAGACATAATGGATGTTCTAGTAAATGTGTATTTACAGCATTAATTCATGATGTTGCTCTGCTCTTTTGAGGGACTCTGCTATATTTTTATCTCTCTCTTTAATGAGCAGCATCGTTTTGTTCTACTGAATGAGGCCAAGAAAGAATAAAGTGACCTTACACTACTATACACACTAATTATCCGTTCTGTACACCTCAGAACAGATGTTAGAACTAAGGTTTTTCTAGATATTTTATTTTGAGTTTAACGTTTGTTCTTACAATTGGTCTTGTCCCAAGATTTTGTTTGATAATTCTTGTGATTTAGTATTTTTATTGTTAGTGGTGGTGTTTTTGAGAGTGAAAGATGAGAGAAATTGAATCATCAGAGGTGCCATAGGCCTGTGTCACAGTGTTTGATTTGGAGTAAGAAAAGCACAGGTGTTACTAATCCCATTAAGTGTGCTAAAACACCAGGAACCTGAAACTAAAGCAGCTGAATTGCATTCAGCCATCATTAGTTTTTATTATCGACACATGCTTTATCTAGTGCGATACAAAGACATCAGAGTAAAGTTTAATAGGTGTTTCTAACGGCTGCTCAATTTTCTGTCTGCCACTTATAAAACCGTCTCTAGAACGCTTTAGAATTGTAAAAAATATGGAACGTATCGTGTAACTTCAATCCCTGACTGATTCCCTGAGGAAATGCTTTTTAAAAATGATATTGTCACGGTGGCAGATGAACTAATTAGTTTTACCTGCAATTTACCCTGTTTGACTGGTGGAGGTGAACTAATTGTATTCCCTGAATGGGAATCAAGTCAGTAATTTTATTTAAAATGTATTAATATTGTTTTTTTTAGATAGACAAACATTCTGCTTTTTTTACCCACATTTAAAGACAGAACACTAATACTTTACTTCTACAATCAGACACACTAATGTTTTAACTGTTTACTGATTACCACCTTCTACCAGCAGAGGGAGCCAGAAGACTGGTGAATCAGCGACGCAAAGACGTTCCCTCACCAGCAGCCATTAGAAATCTGGCTTGCTGCCATTTCAGAAGTCTCATACAGATCAAGAAATATATGATTAATGAGCATACACCACATCACAACTCCACACTTTCCCTTTTTTTGTGTGCTAAAATGCCTCTGGGCGAGCCACATACATCCTTGCTCGGATAAATAATAAAGTCCAACGATGGTTCCCACGCTGCCTTTTGCTTTGAGATCTCAGTAAGTAAACATAATGAGAAACACTAAAGTAATGTTGACTATAGTTCCAGGCCTCTGTTGTAGCCGCTGCTGATTTGATGGATGCTTATTCATTTAAAATGAAACTTTCTGTGCACAAATTTTAGAATTTCATGACTCTGGTTGGAGGTTTTATTGTACTTTGTTCTGTCCTTTCCACCCTGATAAGAAGGCCTCGTAGAAGTTTTCATCAAATCGCAGCGTTTTCTCATTTTCTGCTCGTTACTTGCTGCCTGTTTTTGTGCCAGTGCTGATACACAAACACTCCACCACGGGAGCGTAATGAGGTGAGCTGAGCTGAGGCCCAGATGTTGTTGGCCTCTCTGTG